GTATGCCTTCAAAATCAGAAAGAGAACTTCACATCACTGAGATGATACATATCGTGACAAGTCATTTCACAATACTTTACATTTTTGCACATATTCACCGTATAAATATTCATTTTCATAATTTTTCTGTCGATTCAGCCAGCAGAGTGAGGGACCAGACCACAATTCGCAATAATAAAGCTAACTGAATGAAAATTATTCATACCGGTACACGCCCCCGATCACATACCGATAACTGCTATCTCTCGCCAACCTGACGTATTTCTCTCCTTACTGATAACATCAATTCACATTTTAAGTGACGTTCCTGCGATTGGGGTGCGAAGAGATAAGGAAAATGCCTGCGCCTGATTGCATGCACCTCTTGGCAGAGTCCATGATTTGGGCAGCGACCTCAAACGTCTGATTTTTCAACAATGAGACAAAATGGAAACACTCGGTCGGTTTGTTAGAATTGTGCGAGGTCAGACCCAAAGGATATTCGTATACTTGACATGCATAAATAAGGAAATAAATGCATATTTATCAGTCTAGCCATGCATATCAACCCGGCAAATAGATAATTAAATGTATATCTTAGATATATAGACAGATATGCCTTTATTTCTGCATCTGTATTTAGGAAAATTCATTGGCACAATTTTAACAAACAGCTGACTGAGGCGACTCACTATTATAAATTACACCTAAAATTATCCTTGATATCATTAACCAGGGCCTAATATTGCATCGCGACATATTAGATTATTAAGCAATGTATTACCAAAAGAACTAATTAGACATTTTGATATCCTGAGAAAAGAACGATAAAACTGTAACTTGATGGTCCTATGAAATACAGTTAGGTTAGGTTTAGGTTGGGTTAGGTTTGGTTTGGTTTGGTTTGGTTTGGTTTGGTTTGGTTTGGTTAGGTTAGGTTAGGTTAGGTTTAGGTTAGGTTGGTTAGGTTAGGTTAGGTTAGGTTTAGGTTAGGTTGGTTAGGTTAGGTTAGAAATCTTGATGATACCTATACGGATTTCGTAAACTTAACATCGGCTCCTTGACTTAATGCTCTTTTTCGTTCACGAATGTCAAAAGGACAAAAATCTTGACAGAGAAATAACAGAGAGAGAAAGAGAGAACTTCCCAATACTGAAGCTAATATGACTATGTGAGAGAGAGAGAGAGAGAGAGAGAGAGAGAGAGAAAGGAAGAGAGAGAGAGAGACAGACAGACAGACAGACAGAGAACATATGTACCACGACCAAAAAGGAATATTGACAGAGAACAAACAGAGAGAGAGAGAAATTCCCAATACTGAAGCTAATATGACTATGTGTGTGTGTGTGTCAGAGAGAGAGAGAGAGAGAGAGAGAGAGAGAGAGAGAGAGAGAGAGAGAGAGAGAAGAGAAGAGAAGAGAAGAGAAGGGAAGAGAAGAGAAGAGAAGAGAAGAGAAGAGAGAAAGAGAGAAAGAGAAAGAGAAAGAGAAAGAAAGAAAGAAAAAGAGAGAGAGACAGACATAGAGAGAACATATATACCACGGCTTGAAAGGAATCCGCAGAGAAAAGGGAAACGAGCGTTAAATTTTTGAGCGACTTGCTACATACGTCGTTTGGTAATTCAGTTTGTCATGTAGATGCGCAGGTCGAGCGTTCAGTTACCTTTTAATCTTTAATTCGCCCTCGTGTTGCTGTCTCGTTGTCCGTTAGCATGTCGGCGGGGTTTTTTAAAGTTATTTAAAACGTGTGAAATGGGAAAGAAAATGAGTTTTAATTGATAATGCTATATTCGCGAAAGGAGGAAGACTTGTTTCAACTTTTTTTTGTTTTGTTTATGTCATTTCAGCCCACTTAACGGTCAAAAGGGGGATATAAGCCCCATAGACTTAATAAAACAACTTACTGGTTTAGATGAAATATAACAGTACTTTACTTTAACCCGCTGTCTAATTTAAGACTTGCAATTAACCTAAACCCTTAATTTTTAGTCCTCCTTTCTCCGCGTCATCTAATCTTCAGCAGATCGACAAGAGCATAACCGCAAAATAAGATTAAAAAGAAAAAAAAAGGGCGGGAATGCCACAAGTTGTCAAGGTCCGTTTTTCATTAACATAAATCAAACGCCCACCCGTTTTCTTTCTTTTCTTTTCTTTTTTGAGAATAGAATTGAACATATACTCCTTCCTATCTGTGTCCAAGAATCATGCAGCAAATTGTCATGTCTCATAATTTAATTCGAATCCGCTGGGAATCCAACTAAAAATGTTAACCGTCAAATATGGCCGCCGTTCGGGTAATTCAAACTGGGTGCAATTACGCGACAAATAGATTTATATTTTTTGAGAGTTTATTTCCGCCGAACCTAATAACAAGGACGGTTATGAATTATAAGTTGATTTATTAAACACGAGAGAGTGCATTGTAGATTACGGTATTTCTCATTCATGAGTCACGTAAAGATTCGGCTGCACATGGATCTCTGTTCTGTCGGAAAGGCTAAAGTGATTTAGATCTATGTTAAGTGATGCGGAGTAAGAGGTACACACTACATATATATATATATATATATATATATATATATATATATATATATATATTTATGTATGTATCTATACACATATGTATTTTATGTATATATGTGTGTGTATGTGTTCGCACGAGCGCATCTATATATACATACATATATATGTATATATAGATAGATAGATAGATAGATAGATAGATAGATAGACAGATAGACAGATATAGATAGATAGATAGATATAGATATATAGATAGATGTATATGCGTGTGTGTATGTCTGTATGTATACACACACATATATACATATGTGTATACACAAATGAAAAGGAAAACAGACACAATAAGTTATGAAAATAAAAATTCCTCTTTAGATAAATAATAAGCTGAAATGGATCCATTTTAGTTTATTATTCGTTGAAGAGGAACTCGTGAAAAGTTCGAAATGTAATATTTATTTTCATATCTCATTATGGCCATTTCCATTGTCATATTTGCGTACAAGTTATTGTGTTTGTGCTTGTGTTCATATTCACATATGTTCATATACGTAAAGCTACAAAGAGAACTATCGTCAAGAGAGGTGTCGAAACATTCACTAACGAACAGAACCTTTTGTTACGGAAGGATTCGAATCTTGGGTTTCGAATCTGTCTCGTTCTGATTCGTGTCTCGAAAAGTCGTTCCGAAATTCATGTGGATTTTGTTCATTCATATGTGATTTTTTATTTCCGTAAGGGATGGA